GTCTCCTTTCTTACTCATTTTCCTGAAACTTCAAAGGGCATTTTGAGATTAATCCTTTGAAAGATCTCTTATCTGGTTTACAAAGACAGACAGACAGACCCAGACACACACACACACACACACACACACACACACACACACACACACACATCAGTCAAAAAAGCAGAAACCCAGTGTAATCTATAAAATTAAAATAGTATTTGAAAAATAATGTAGAACTGGTTTTTAATATTTTAATAAAAGAAACACTTGTTTCATAAAGTAAATTTAGCTATTTTGGTACCAAAAAAGAAAAAAAAACTAGCCAGGTTATTTTGGCCTCTATGTTCATTGCTTTCTCCTCCCTCTCCACTCCTCCCAACCCCCTTAAATAATTGAGGAACTCAGAATAAAAGACAAAGCCCTGGCCTCAGATTTCAAGAAGATATGGGTACAAGTCCTGCCTTGACACTGATGGCTTTGTGATCATGGGTAAGTCACTTAATCTTTCAACATTGCCCTTGGAGCTTTCTGTAACACTATAAATAGCAGAGTAGTTGCCAAAGCACACTGGGAGTTTCAGAGTTCTCTATACCAATGAAATCACACAGCTCAGGATCAAAAAAAAAAATTCTCTTGTATTCGTTAAGTCGTAAACAAATATAAAGTAACCAACAATAAACACAAAGCATGAAGTAAAAACTCTGACATTTCAACGGAAGGAATTTTTTTTAAACCAACATAATTAAATTGATCACTAAGAAACAGTTATTCTATATAGCAACTACTCTATTTTGACTGAGAAGTAGCCTAGATAGCAATTTTACAAAGAATAAAATACAGATAAAAGTCAAGTGAGTTGACCAAGATCGGAGAGCCTTCGCTGTCAGAACTGGAACCATACCATAAGTGTTCTTGGCTCCAGGTCATGTTGCTCAATCTATATCCCTCTCTCCTCTTCTATTTCCTTCACAACACAGAGCTTACCACACTAATATAACCAAGGCCATTACACTTTGATGTTCATTAAAACTAAAATCTATGATATAAAGTCTAAAGCATACAAACAGGTTATTTTCCTTAAACAGGGAGTTGAAAATGATTTAGAAAAGTTTAGAATTACCTCAATGAATATGTAAATACATTAAATGAACATGATGTACACATATACATATATACATATGTGTGTGTATATATCAAATTTTACACCATAATCTTTTCTTTTCTGCCAAATGTGGCAATGTCATTTAATGCTACAGGGGGAGGGGTTTAAGAACTAGGATCTTAGCAGGATAAACAATCTTTGCCTTTAAAATGTGGTGATATCAATCTATCTTTCTATACAGGTAAGTAGGTAGATAGACAGAAAGATCAATTGATAGACAAAGAGCTATACACAGTAATAGTTTCAAAGTACTTCTGGAATACCACCACACAAATATCAACATGCATGGTGTGTGTGTGTGTGTGTGCGCATACACGCACACTCATATATATCTCAGGTAAACTCATTTGTGTTTCTTCAGAAATTAAAAGCATTGTATCAATATGGATCATAAAATTATATTTGATCAGCAACAGCTCAGTAATAAAGACAGTTTAAATGACATTTTTGAAAGAATTTAAAAGCACTGAGTCTTGCATATAATCAGGCATCTAAAGATATCTACCACAGCTGTGTTTTTGTTTTTGTTTTTGGTCTTTGTATCTCTAGTACACAGCATAGTTTCTGCCTTATAGCAGATCCTTAATAAATTCTTGTTGAAAACAGTATCTCTACACCACTGCCCCTTTACACATATTTGATGTACACATTATTTCATGATCTCTGTCTAGGACCTTCTTCAAACCAGTTCCCCAAATGCAGTATAAGAGGATAGTAGTCTGTAGTATTCATAGTATGACACCATCTTCATAAGTGACAGCTGATATCCCTTATGACTAGCTCTTCCAAAGCATATCCCATATTCAACATCAATTCTGTGAATCATGTTTGCTTTCCTTTCCCTGTGGCTGTCCCTTTTCAGTGAATGGCAGAGATATTATCCATGGGGCTTTTTGATCAGTTTTGCAGTGGTCCAAGGCTTGAAAAACTAGAAAACTACTATTTTGCACAAAAAACCTTAGAGAAGGTTAAATACAGTCTCCTATCGTTTTCTCTGGGTACATCTGGGTCACGCTGAATGAAAAATTAAAGAGGTCAACTTACTATGTTACCAATCACTAACTATTATGACTGTATTAGTCACTGCTAGAATTTACCAGTTATTACTATTCTTCAATAGTTTGTGGTAAATAGTGGGAAAATCATAAGGAAAAGAAAAATCCACTGTAGAAGAGAGGGGGCCTGCAGCTTGCTTATGTCCATTTTGATATTTGCCCTTCATATCAATCATGTCTTTAAGTCATGTGATATAGCACTTCCCTTTTTTAGGCTAGAAATACAAATATATCCTCCCTTTCCCACAAAGACCACACATATACATATACAAACTGTGTGTATGCCAGAAATCACTGAATACTCTACCAGGAAATGCCAGCTCAGTACAGTTTATGAGTACAAAGTGACTATTACCAAGTCAGTGTGAGGTTCAATTGTATCTGATGAAAACTTAAGAGGAGTGATATAGGGGGAAAGGGGCTCACTGTAAATTCAAGCTGGGGTAGAGAGCTTTCTCATGATGCGTAACTGACAAAAATAATTACTCTAGCTTACTTACAAATAAAATATCTGAAAAGACCTGCATCATACTTCTCACACCTCATTTGTTGGTATATACATAAATATAGAAGTTTTATTTTTTTTCAGAAAAAATGTATTTTCTAAATCAGGTTCATTTACTTCCCTCATTTGGATACTGTAGAAAACACAGCCGGCACCAACAAATTCACACACACACACACACACACACACAGGGAGAGGGAGAAGGAGCCCAATAGCGTGGATGCATGGATGGAAAGCTGGCTTCAGAGTCAGAAGTCCTGGGTTCAAGTCTTCTCTAGTTGTGTGACATGAGACTAGTCACTTAACCTCTCAGTGACTCTGGCCTTTTTCTAAGGCTATAAACTGAAGAGATGGTGCCAACTTGAGTTGGCAAAAGGAGTTTCTTCATTTGGAAGCTACTGATCCCAATAAAATCAGAGGTTCATTCAATATGTGTGTGCATATATACAAGCACATCTTTTTAACATCATAAAGGTCTTCAGGTCAATTTCCTTTCAATATTCTAAATTACTTAAATAACCAAGTTTGAAACCTAAAAAAACTGATGTTCACAACATTTCACTTTCTGAAATAGATTAAAAGTATATTCAGTATAGTCTTAGAAAAGTATACTTAATTGTATTCTATCCAATAGGCAATTCATTTATTATATGCATGGTAATTTTATTGACAATAATTGTCTACTTTCCAACCAGGACACATAGCAAGGAGTTTATATTACCTTCTTTACCAACAAACTACTTTCTGCATCGCACAAAACTGTACCCAGCAGCCTCCACTAAATCTCATAAAAGTATACCTCTGGTTGCAAACAGGCCTAGAAGAATGAGTAGAGATTAATCCATCACCACTACTAGGAAATAATTCAAAGTAATTACCCCAATGATAGCATATCCATGATATCACATAAAGAGAAGACTCCAGTTATTTGGCACTCACAAGCACAAAATGCTTTCTACTTGGATATGACTCTCAATAAAATCATACCATAGATCTATACTCTACACATAGCCATAGATGTTCACTCTATCCAAAAGTAAATTATCAAATTCTTAATTATAAATGCTTCTAAAACATTGGTAAAAAATTTAGAAGCATGTCACAAATCTCCCTCACAATCATCAGCTGACCACATGTTAACTTAATTCTAATTTACACCGTATTATTTCAACAGGAAATGGGCTCCTCATTTCCCCTTTTTGATAAGAAATCAGAACCATCTAAACTTTGAATCTCGCCCAGAGTCTAGGTGCAATGAATAGCACACAGCAAGGGGTTAACATTTTTTTTAATCAAAAATATAAAAAGAAAAAGTGAAATTACTAGGTTATCTATTTAAGTTTTGCAGGAATCAACTCAAGATTCTCAGGAAGGCACTATTTCTTCCATGATAAAATAAAAACATATCCAAGTATCTAGTTAAATCTACACAGTCACCAATGATGTTCTGAGACCTTGCTGTTATAATAACCTTGAAAACAACAAATGACTTTAAAGTCACAACCCAAAAGACCAATTTGCTGCATCAGAATTGGATTCAGAGCTAAAAATTCTGAAGGGAAAAAAAAAAAAAACACCACCACCAACTATTCAACACCCAAATGATACAAGTTAATGATACAAGTAATGATAGTAACAATAACAACTATCAACATTTATACACTTTTAAAGTTTCCAAAGCACTATGCAGGTTGTCCCAAAGTTCCTAACCCAGTTTTAAGTTACTAAAACTTACAATACAATAAAGCTTAAAGTACAATAAAACTTTACTTGAAAATACAAAAATCTTTCTCTGCTCACAAGCCATACAAAAGGTGGTGGGGCATAGTTTACCAATCCCTGTTCTAAGGAAAGAATGCTAGATATAGGTTCAAGACTTGGTTACTATGCCCATAATACGTTGTCTCTCTCTCATGGTCTTACTCTCCTGTAGAAAAGGCCTGCTATAGCTTTATGAAAGCAGGCCTTAACTACAGAAGGAGAGTAACTCAACAAGATTCAAGTTTAAATCCTGTCTCAGACATTTCTTAGATAAGTGATCTTGGGTGAGTCAAAACCTCTCAATTTCCTCACCTGTAGTATGAGGATAATAGCACCTACCTCACAGAGTTATTATAAGGATCAAATGAGATAATATTTGTATAGCATTTGCAAACCTTAAAAACACTACATAAATCTAAGGGATTACTGTTGACCAAGTAAAAATTCTCTTCATGATATTTCTATTAAATATGAAAATGACAAATAAAACAAGCAATAATAAGCATGGTTATAAAATTAGCATCATAAAAGATTCTTACCTGTCCTGTGATTGTTCCTCATACATCCTCTCTTTGCCCTCTTTAAAGAGTCTAATTGCCCGTTTTGACTTTTTCATCAGGCTATCAATGTAGATTTTAAAATATTCATTTTCACTGAGTTGTGCAAGTTTCTGGTTGTCATCGTATTTGCTCAGTATGAGTCGCAAATGTTGATAAGTGTCAGGCAAAATATCAAGTATGTATGGTGGGCTGTTCTTTAATTGGAGTTTGGGATTTTGGCATAGCCTTACCTAGAGGCAAGAACACAGGTAAAACATTTTTTTGTAGGGGGGAGGGGAAACATGAAAAAAAAATGTACAAGAAATTCATATAAACTGGTTAATAAAAGTCTATGTTTTCTATAACATAATCAATCCATAAGGAACCTGTATAAATTACCTTTAAGACAGATTTGAGTAAAACTTTATTTTATTTCATTTCTACTAATCCAAGTTATCCAATAATACACTGAGAAAACCTTTTTGCCTAATTTTATTCACCCCCTTTTTTATAGCTTCCTACTTTTGCAAGCTATTCAGCATAAGATGTGAATCCTTTTTAAAAAGTAAAATCACACTAAGAAAGAGTAAATAAATCCATTTCATCAGTGGGCAATCAAAGACTTGAAGTTAAAACTTCATTACACTATACCTTGTTCCCCACTGAAGTTATTTAATGGATTTTAATTAATGTTTTAGTTGATTAATCCTGTACCCTTAGGCAGTTTAAACAAAAGGCTGAAATTTTAATAACTGAGTTAATAAATAATAAATGCATGTCAAGTTCAAACTAGTCTTCCCTACCTTCTTCTGACACTTTCTACCTTGTCAACAAGCATGAGCTATATCATGGTTCAGTCAGCAGCAGTCCAACTATGTACCCACAGTCATAGGGAATGACAGGAAAAGTATGTCCAACTCTGACACAGTGAAGAGAACCCTGGACTTGGAGTCAGGAAGACTTGGTTTCAGATCCTATCTCTGATCTTTTCTATGCAACCACAGGCAAACCACTTACCCTTTACAAATTTCAAAGCATCTTTACAAAACAGTTAAGTTACAGAAGGATTGCAATCTGTGTTAGAGGAGAACGGATCCACACTAGGAGTTCTCATTTAAAAAAAATAAATCCCAAGTCTTGGACATATTAATATATGTTCAACTTTTCACTGAATGTCAGAATCTCTCTGCCTAACTGGAACGTCTTTGCAACAGATTTTCTAGATACATGATGAGCTTTCAGTTTGAAAGCTGCAGAAAAGCAACAGCATAATATCATCACCAAAAGGAGATATATATATATATATTTAAAATTCATGAGGTAAAATGTTAAACTTTTCACTAACAGTAGCTTCAGGAACCCCACCAACACATACACTGAATTAGAGAAATAACATATTCAACCTTTATGTGATACATTGTTTTTTTTCTTCGAAAGAGGTATCAATTTTTATTTGTAAGTTCATAAGACTTCTTTCCAATCAACATGTGTCTCATCAAATAATAAACTTACTTCTCTCATCAATATTTCCGAATCCTGGCTCCTCACAAAAACCATCAAAAATAATATAATTGTCTTTGCTTTGATTTCCATGACAACAGCTGTACCACTTAAAATTCATAAGCAAATAGCATCAGCCTTGGCTTAATAAATAACAATAAGAACAATTAACATTTATATATCACTTTAAGCTTTACAAAGCACTTTACAACTTTGTAAATATCTCATACTATCCTCACAACAACCCTGGGAGATAGGTCAACATTCATAACCATTTTACAGATGAGGAAACTTGGACAGACAGAAGTTAAGCGACTTGCCCAGGGTCACAAAGTGTCTAAAGAGGGACTGAACTCAGGTCTTTCTGGCTCCAAGTTAAGTGCTTTATCCGCTGGGCCACCTAGCTAAGGAAACACTTTTGTACTCCTAAGGAAATCAAATACAGCACTGATTTTGGCCCCATATAAAAAATGTCAGACTGAAAAAAAATGTTTTACTTTAAAAAATTATCACTTGGTCCTTTTAATATTCTTAATTATGACATATCATGTAAGTAAGCTAGAGAGCTAACCTCAGTGTCAGAATACCTGAGTTAAGTCATGCCTCTGATAAACACTGGCTGTGCGACTCTGGCCAAGTCACTTACGTTTTCAGTTTCCTAAGCAATTTTCTAAGTTGTAGAGAAGGGGCAGATCTGTATTCAAGAGCTCTCTAAGATGATTAAATCACTTTTCAGGACCAAAAAAAGTATGAGACATCATATAATGACACGTAAAGCTGGCATCAAGATAACGACTGCTATTTGGGCTAGAAAACATTTCAGAGACATTAAAGGCTCATTTCACTTTTCACTTAAGCATGGATCACAGGACATACCTACATTTGTATACAAACTGGATTTTTTTAATCCAGATTACTAAAAGGGAAGACTTTCAAAAGACTAATGAATTTCAAATCAAGGTTTTAAACAACTTGCCTACTCTGTAGGCACACAACTGGATTACAATATGCAAATGCCTGAGAGAGAACTGGATAAAAGATAGTGCAGATTGCCCTGTAGTATGAGAAATATGATTTTTTAAAATCTAAGCTTCAAATTAATTCTCTCCATTCATAAATGAAATGTTTACTAGTTTAAAAATATCCCACCTTTGTTATATAGTGACTGTGAGATCTTGGACAAGACATTTAACTTCTGTGCCCCAAGAAATTCTCTCAGACTTAAAGTTAGGTAACAGTTGCTGATAAGCATTAGTACGGGAAGTTTACTTACCAGGAGTCGCCTACACTAATTATAACAGACATGCAAATAGTAACCATTAAAAGCAGTACTATAGAGTGGACAGACTCCTGAGCAGAACTCAGGAAAGCCTGGCTCCAAATCCACCTCAAATTCTTCCTAGGTGAAATAACTTAACTTACAAGTGCCTCAGTCAGCTCCACAGGACTTAACCCTATTATGGATGGATTTTGATCTGACACTGGAGAAATACTATCCAGTTATTCTCTGGAAGTTTTTGTTGTTGTTTTTAATACATATGTGTATTCACAAATCTAGATTTTTCAGAGATATAACTAGGAATTCTGGTACCTGGGGCAAAATCAGTTGGAGTAAAGAGGTAGAACCAGCCTAAAGTATGACCACTCCTAAGTGTGGTTAAGGTAGGCTTTCAAATGTTCCTGGAAGGAACTGGGAGGCCAGGATACTACTCAAAGAAGCTGAAGTGGAGAAGATGTTTGCTTACCTGGTTACTAAACTTACTGAGAAGCAGCAGAAAAAGCAGTCTGGAAAACATATGAGAAGGATCTGTATAACATGGAGTGAACTTTAAAGGAAGTTAAAAACAACTGTGAAGTACAATGAATATACCAACTTCTCTTCCTCACCCTTTGTGTCAGTGAGAAAAGCTGAAAGTCTAGCATAAAGAAGGTACCAAGATTCAAGGGGTCTTCAGGGGAAAGCCAGATTTCAGAGAGTACCAGATCATGAAAATCTGAGAGGAAGAGGTCTAGGATGGAGAGGAGTAGCTTAATAACAGAGGAGGATTCAGAAGGCATACTAGAAAAGGAAAAGAACAGAGGGCAGGGCCAGAGGAGGACGACTCCACCCGAACAGGACAACTCCTAAAACTGGGTGATCTATCAGGGACAGTTCACTCAAGTTGGAAGGCGGGCACAGGAAAGGGAGGGCAAAGAAAGAAACATCAGCCGTCTCCCCAATCTAGGCTAGTTCTCGCTCTGTATATTTTCCACTTTAATGGCTTCTCATTCATTTCTAAGAGATTTCACACAATTGTATAAGAGCAGTAAGTAGCCTTAAAAACTATCTAATCTAATGCTACCACTTTAGAGATGTGGAAACTAAAATCCAAAAGTCATACCACTAGCTCAGTGCTAGGGCTCGGACTAAAGTTCAAGTTGATGCACTTTCCACTACATTAATCACAAAAAGTATAACTAATCATAGACTCAAAATGCAAATTTATCTTATGACATAGTAAGAACAAAACTTGAGAGAGATTCAAGTCCTAATTTCCAGTCACGTGTGCTAATATACATTAGGGACCTTCTGAAATATAAGAAGAGTACAAGTCATTAGTTTAGCAAAAGTTTAGCAATAAGGATCACAATTTATGACAGACTCTATTTACAATGAAATAGCAAGAATAGTTGTATAACAGAGAAATAACTTTCTAACAGACCAAGAAAAAAGAGCAAAGGTCAAAAGAAAACATGATTTTATAAAAGTAGCACATTACAAAATATCCAATTCACAAAGTTACATGCAACTTTTATCTCCATCTAATTACTTTGTAAGTTTCCTTTGTTCAATCTAAATTTTATATGGAAAAGGGCTATTATGAAAAGAAAAGTCTTTTCCATAGTCAATAATAATTGCTGAAAGAATAACTTTTCAATACACCACCTAAGGATGAATACTGTCCTTCCCTGGTGGTCTAAATGATCAAACAATTAACTAGGAATTTTACTAGCATTTAAAAAGCAATTATATTCACAACCTCATAAAATTTTAAAGCTGAAATGAGCCTTAGAAATCATCCACTCCATATTCCTCATTTTACACACGAGGAAACAAAAGGCCAGAAAGAAGACTTGCCCAAGGTCACCTAGCTCAGGTCTCTTGACTCCCCAAGAACTCTCCATGAAACCAAGCTGCCTCCTACCATGGTCACTGTTTATTGTTATGATATTTTATTCCAAATTTTCTAAAACAAGTCCTCTCTGTAGAGTAACACCTTTTCCCAGATATATAAATATAAATCTTCAATCAATTACATCATGACAGAGCAAAAATATAAAACAGATTTTAAACAAATTTATAGGATTTACAAGGAATTTAAGAGCAAACTTTAGAGCTTTCATTTTGATAGTGAAGCTTTCTTAGCATACAGAAAACATTTCTTAGAAAACATTTTAAATGTTTCCTGATTTATGCCTCAATTAAAATTCACAAAAGCCAATAAAATGTTAAACCCAGTAATATAGCTCTAACAAACAAGACTCCATATACTCCACCCCCTGAAATTTAGCAAAGTAATTTCACTGAAACAAACTGAAATTTATAGAGCAAAGAAATCCTTTCTTTAAAACTAAAACTAGTACTATAAGAAATGATGAGCAGTGCTATAAGAAATGATGAGAAGGCAGACTTCAGAAAAACTTGGAAAGACTTATATGAACTGATGCTGAGTGAAATGAGAACCAGGAGAACATTGTACACAGTAACAGC